CTTTTCTTCTTGTGTTTCTTCTTTTGTTTGTTCGTTTAATATTATTGTTTCACTCGACTGACTGCACTTCCATCAGGTCTTGAACTCGTGATCTGTCTCATGCCAGTTCCATATAGGTGGTGAAACTCTGACGAAACAACTTGTCACAGCCCCACGTTTGTTGTCCTCTTCTCCCTCTCTGCCTACGGTTTACCGGCCAGCTCTGTTTGACTACATTTGGCCGCATGGGACTGATGGGGTGTATGTTCATTTTGGTTTCTCTGCTTTCTGTTGTTTGTGCGCTCTTCTTCTGCTGTTTTTTTTTGTTTTTTTTGTGCTTTATTCGTTTTCTGATGTTCTGTCAATTGACCTTGCTGCACTCTACTTGGTCCACTACACTGCTGCTGGGTTTTTTTTTTTTTTTTTTTTTTTTTTGCCTGCTACTACTCTGTTCAGTATGTTCTCTTTCCATCCAAGCTTTCAGAAGCTTATGCAGATTTTACACAGAAGCATTAGTTCAATGCATGCCGGCCCGAGGCTCCGAGCAGGCAACACACAACAATCAGTTTGGCCAATTTCTACAGTTGTTCTTTATAGCTGGCCAGATCTGTTGCGGCAGGTCTATCAGCCTATTGCTTCCACATCGTCCACCACCGCCTATCGCTTTTGCATCGTCCACCCCCGTTTTGCATTCGGTAAATTTAGTATACTACCGTCTTCACCCGAACAGAACGACCGGTCATAATAACTGTATCTGTACTGAAAATTGCACCAGATACGGCTATAATGACCAGGCGTTCTATTTGGGTGAAAACGGTAGTAGTGCTGCTGCTAACCGTGTTCTCCGAAACAGTCGCATGATGCCCGGGCAGGCAAACATGTGACTATCAGTTTGGTCAGTCATCACTAGTAGCGTTCGTAAGAGCGCTGGACGCATGAGCCACGGTAAGCTTATCAGTAAAAAAAAAAAAAAAAAAAAAAAAAGGAAGTCTTCTCTACTACCTAAGGGATATAATTCCCCACGATGAAAGCCGAATCCTCAACCATTAGCAGCCAGAAGGACCCACACGACTCCTGAAGAGGTTTGGGCGGGCGACCCACGGAAAGGAATATGGACGGTCGCCCGCAGATGATCCCTGTATTCCAGAAAGGAGTAGAGCCAAGTCACTGCCAGGAAACGACTTTTACTCTGTTTACTGACACAAGGGTATTAGCTCGTGATTTGTTCGTAACTCCGTAGCAGCCAAGTCACTGCCAGGCAATGGCATAACCAGGGCAAGTTTGTTGTCTGTGCCTTCTGCATCTCTTCCTCGTTCTGCGAAGTTTTGATAATGTCGCTCAGGTTGTGCCAGTGCAAGTTTGCCAGTGCCTTCTGCATCGCCTCACTTTGCGAAGTTTTCACAATGGCGCGCCGGTTGTGCCACTCCAAGTCTGAAATCGATAGCTTCAACGATGATGTGCATCAGCAGTCGCTCAAGTCTTGATGGCAGAGGACTCCGAAGATCCTTTTGAGTTCTGGTATTTTACTATTTTGACTCCCTTTTCTAAAAAGTTTTTCGCGGTTAATGTGTCGACGTTAGAGGGAGTGGTTGAAGTTGTCAAGTCGGTGAAATTTGCCGGGATTTGGATAGTTCCCCATGGAAATTATGTTTTCGATCTGGGCCACTTAAATCTCAACAATCGGGCGAGGAGTTACGCGTTGAGGGATGACTGGCGTACTACAGCTACATTGGGTGGATTATCATCTTTGTTAATAGTAACTTGATACATGATCCGTCGGTCTGTTTTGATGTTTCTTTCTTTTTTTTTTTTTTTTTTTCTTTTCTTTTTTTCTCCTGAGCGGAGATATCGTCTATGAACGTAAGTGCTGTGCGAACCCTCTACGTCCGAGTTCGTTACCGTTGACAGAAGTGGATTGGTTACCACTTGCCCTTATGTTTGTTTCGGCGGGATCCATGAACTTCACCATAGACCGAATAGCTCGTGAGCCTTTTCCGCTCTTTTCCAAGACGAGTTATTTTTAGAATTGAATTAATTTCGCCAGATTACGGAATACATACGTATATGACCTTTCCCGGAGAAGGATTGACTTTGTGAGTGAAGTGAGACCCGTGACATTGTATTCAAGTTTATATACAATACAAATACATGACCTATTTCAACATAGTACATTTAATTTCAATTTTAAATTAATCGCTTGAACAATGACTCAACCGGTTTTTGATTGAATAACTATAAAAAGATAGGATAAACTGTCGTGTTTCTATCAGAAGAAAAATCAAAGTTAACAACAAAAAGCTAGTAAACATCAATCGCAATGCTACATTGTTCTATCTTTTGCGGATGTCCTAGTTGAATCCCCTTGTGTTGATCGATTTGCTATCATTTGTGCATGTGTGAGGTTTTTTTTTTTTTTTTTTTTTTTTGATGTGGAATCTTTCACTACTTAGACTACTATCCTCATGCTATGGCTGATCTTTGCAGTTCCATCGTTCACATTCACATTGCCTGGCAAAACTGTCGATGATCATGCTCTCCGAGTTTGTTTTCGTACTGGAAATAAAAAAATCAACTGAGCTTTTGCCCTTTTCCTCCAACCAAATATTTCTGTTTTTTAGAAATTGTAGGTGTTGGATATAAAGCTAGTAGTACTAATCCACAGAGCTTCATACTTATCTTGAAATTAGGATTTAGTCATGATATGAAACTCCAAGCTCCGCATGAGATTTCTGTTCTCGTTCAGCTCATCTTAGGACACCTGCCGCCGCAGCCAAACTCCCCACCTGACGATGTCTTTCGCTTGGATCGGACAGTTCACGAGGGGCCTGCACCTTGGATCGAAAAGCAGGGGCTGAGTGTAATTAAGATCACAACAGTCGCTGCCTTAAGATCACAACAGTCATCGCCTAATGAAGATCACAACAGTTGCCTGACAACGCTATGGATGATGATGGGGGTAGGGTGTCCATGGGGGTACGGGTGTCCGTCTTCGCCCGAATAGAACACCTGGTCGATATCGGTGCATCTGGACCGAAAGTTGTGCCAAGTAGAGCTATTATAATGACCGGGCGTTGTATTCGGGTGAAGATGGGAGCAGTAATTAACAGGATATTGACTGTTGCAGTGTCGCCAAAAGTCAGTAGTTGGGAACTTAAGAAGAGTCTTTGTGCAAATTTGATTGTCTTATCAAAGAGAGACAACACCCATCTACTGTCTGGGGTGTTTGATAACTTTTTTCAAGAGGGGTTTCCCGCTTATATGCTTTCAGCGGTTCTCCCATACCAACGTAGCTACCCGGCAATGCCACTGGCATGACAACCGGTCCACCATAGGTCGACCCATCCCAGTCCTCTCATACTATGGATGGCTTCTCTCAGTTCTCTTCAAATCACCAACGGTAATGTTTGTTATTCATTTCACAACCCACACATTGTGTCTGAGATCATGGCATGACATAGACTCCCAGATGAATGTGGAAGTCCAAGTCCAAACCAGGTTATGTCTATCCCTCTTTGTGATGTTTCCAGATACTGCTCATTGAATTATCTATCATTGCCTATGAAGGCCATTTTTGCTGACGCCAATAACATGTCAACAGAGTGACATAAAGTCAGCGCTTCATGCGCCGTACTCACTCGATGAGCTGGTGAAACTCCGACGAAGCAATCCATGCAATCCATCATCGCAACCCCCTCATTTGTGTCCTTTTCTATTTTCTTGCCTCCAGTTTTCCTGGCAATTCTGTTTCGCGATATATTGACAAATAATGATTTCTTATATTTATAAATTGTAAGCGGGGGGGGGGGGGGGGGGGGGAAGAGGATCAGATGGCAGCCACCATATTAGTTGTAGGCAGGTAGCGGAAAGTGAAATTGCACGAAGAATATTCCATCCACTTCCATGTGCGATTCCTGCTTGTGGTGTCTGTATTCCAGCGGTTTCGGTTTCATGGATGTACCAACTGAGCTAGCCCGGTCGGTAGAAACCAGAATTCCCAAATTCGGCTGCACTCCAATTGGCTCGTTCCACCCGTCAATTTGGGAACAAGATTGGGGACACCTCCACAGCAAATGCTAGATATTTTATTATTTGAATTTATTTCCCCCTTATCGTGGCAACAGTTGGTAATTTTGACTCTTATTTATTTTTAAATATGTTCCGTATTCAGCTTGTTATTGTCGACCCAGCCCTCCACCCACCCACCCCTTTTTTTTTTTTTTTTTTTTTTTTTTTTTTTTTTTGCCTCGTGTTCTTGTACACTTGCCACCTTTGTTGACATCGCCTATCGCGACTGTGGTTGGTATTTTACTATTTTTGCTCTGCATGTTTTAATGACAGTCTTCATGTTTTGGCACTTTTCAAGAGAAAGGAGCCTAAGGGGACCTCATACACATGCGCAACACCCTTAGCCAAGTGCATGCATACTCTCAGAGACTGTACTGGACTTTGTACTCTCCGACTCTGCCGGACTTGTGTCCAAAACGTGCTTTTGAACGCCCGCCCACCCACCCACCCACCCACAAGATGGTTGCTTCATGTTTGCATCGCCCCTTGCTGTGGTACTTCTCCTATATCCCGGAGTTGTGGAGAACTGCCGTCTTCACCGGAGCTGTATTTGGCACAACTTTCGGTCCAGATGCTTCGCTCCTGAACTGTGACTCTGGAAATTGTGACAGCCAACATCTA